AACGAGAAGAACCTGGGGAAGAGATTGCTCTCTCCCGACGTGCATTGATGTGCACGGCCTGTGAATATGTAAGAATATGTAAGACTTAAACAGTTGGCTGTTACAATGTATAAAATCCATAATAATCTTTCCCCATCGTATCTGAGGCGGATCTTTACCAACACCTCAAATGTACATTCACACAATCTTAGAAATTCTGAGTTAAATTACAGTATGTCCCCAGACCCAGAACTGAGTCTGCAAAAGGGAGCCTACACTACAGAGGATCTGTTCTGTGGAACATGATTCCCTCAGAGATTAGAAAACTGCCTAGTTTAAATGTTTTTAAAACTTCAATTCATGGGAAAGATTTTTCTAATACACCATGACCCATTGTAACTCTTATTATTCATAATGTAAGTTTTTGTATTTTTAACATTATAATCAATAGTTTCTTAGAGTATTTTAGTCTAGTTTTAAACACGATTCCTAGGAAGACCATGTAAAATGACACGATTTCGTGTATAAATAAAGATTGATGATGATGACGATTAAACCAGGCGGAGGGGAGTTGGGGGGGCGAAGGGGAGAGGCACCAAGTGGAATTCAGAGCCTAAATGAGAGGGGGGAAGGAAACTAGTGGGTAAAAAAGTTCTCATTTTCTGAAGGGAAAAATACATTTTAAGAGTATCTGGTGGTATCCAGCTTATCCTTGTATAAAATCTGTATACCATGCAGTTAAAGAGATACCGGACACGTGTCTCCAAAGACCCGGGGCAAAGAGGATCCTGAATGTTGACTTATCTTATTTGCCCAAGTGTTAGAAAATAAGAACCTGTTTCAAATTTTAGGCTAAAAAGGTTCTTGTATAGAGGAGGACTACCTCAGGTTCTTAAAAAACATGTTCCTAGTCGCGGGTTTTGTATTCAACTTCTACAATTCAACATCACGCATTCACAAGCCATCATCAATACAGGGGCGTAACCAGCGTTTCGACTAGTTGTAGGCCTAGCTGGCTTTCATTTCCACATATCCTGAAAACTGCACGAATGACAAGTTCGTGCTGACCTCATCAACACTTTGAGAGTGATCAATCCATAAATTTGTACGCGCGGGCCTACAGGTCTATGCGCTGGCTACGCCCCTGGCTTATATCAAAAATACAATGTTTTTCATAGTTAGTGAAAAGTCACAAAACAACATCCGTATTCTAACTTTCACTTGTTCGCGTCTTAGTGAACGTTGACTCAGTGTGGTTTACGGTCATCTTGCCACCAACGAAATCGCCACCAATAAGTCTACCCACCACCACCGTAATAACTCTGCAATAATTGACACTGTTTACTTACCTGAGATTGTTACTTCTTCCTAAAGCCCAAATATAAGTTTATCGACACTTTGTGTCGAACTTCTCATCTTTAATTTTATTTTTTGTAAATAATTGCGACTTTTTAATACCTTAAAGGCTTATTTTCATCGCTAGAGAGCTGCGATTTGTTTAAAATGCAAAAGCCTTTCTTACGAAAGTTGTTGGTTATCATTCTCATTTGAACCCCGGACTCCGCTTATGAAATGGGTGGGGATGCTCGTCGTCTCGCTTAGGGGTGTAAATTTCGGATTTTGGTCTCACTTAGGGTGTTCTGGGCAAAACGCCATCATATTTAGCCGTGAAGGTCTCGTTTAGGGTTGCACGTGAAAAAATATAAAAATATATATATCGTCTGTGTTTTAACATGGTCTCTTTTGGGGGTCAAAAAAAGCCTGGGCCACACCCAGATCGGTCTCCTTTAGGGGTTTAATTCGAAATTTCAGACGAGCATCCCCACCCCTTGCATATAGGGAGTCCACCCCCCGGGTTTGAACCTTACCTCCTTAAATTTCATTGTAAATTTGAAGTGCGGGAAATAATTCTCTTTAGACAATTGTCCTTTCCATGAGTATAGGCCCTTTACACCTAGCCATTCACGTAGTACAAAACCACCATGCTGGAGAGCAAAAGTCGCACTGGGAGAAGACAAACAAAGGAAATTTGCTGAAATTACCATTTAAAACTATGTATGCCTTTTGTTTGTCTTGTCCCAGTACGACTATAGTTGCTCTCCAGCATGACGGTTTTGTACCACGTGAATGGCTGGCCAGCATGACGGTTTTGTACCACGTGAAAGGCTAGCCGCAAATGGCCTTTTGAGATACCGTAGTTTCTGCTTGGTGGCGACAAAAACAGAGGAGGTAATACAATATTACAACTAAATAAAGAAAACGGTAAAACAAAAAGAAACTATGACACTATGCATGCATGTAACACATACACGCGTAAAAGTTTTGTTTTTCTAAACTGGTTTCAGATAAAAAGGGGATTCCGGTTGCGCTCCCCTCGCCACCTCGAAATCTACCAGTGTTTTTAACTGAATTAAAAATTATCTATTCCGTTATCTGATTATAATGATTTTATAGATAAAATGCGAATTATTCATTTATGTTTTTTTAATGAGGCAAACCGCATATTCTCCATTTGCACATCTTCCATAGCCTGCGTGGCAGGCGCAAAAAGGGGAGGGAGAAAAGCCTTTTTCCCTATCCCCTACCCCTTTCGACGCCTGCTACGCAGGCTACATCTTCCATAATACCCCTAGCCTGCGAACAGCAGACGCATTTCCGGTGGTCGCTTCTCTCCCTCCGAAAAGGGAGAGAAGCGACGACCAGAAATGCGTCTGCTGTTCGCAGGCTATAATACCCCTTGTTTGGTGCCCAAAGTTTTGCTTAAGCATGTGTTAATTTACTTGGGACCACTGAAATATCAGGAGAATTTAAAAACAAAGGTTGTGCAAAATTTATTTTTGGGGGGGTGGTGGGGGCGAATAGTTCGATGTTGACAAAATTACGGAAAATCATTGAAAAACGGTATCTCTTACAGCAAGGAGCCCAAAAATTGTGACCGCTTTTGATTTATTCACATTCTTTCGTACAGATTTAATCCAATCAGAAACCAGGTGGAGACTGTCCTCGGCTTCTTATTGGTTAATGTCTACATGAAAGAATGTGAGTTAATTAAAGGAGGTCACACTTTTGGAGTCCTTGCTGTAGTGTTATACTAATCATACGTCATGAAGTGAAAACTTAAACTCGTCCTGTAAGAAGTTGTAAATAGTCTAGCTCGTTGGTTATCATTTTTTCACAAAGAGTCTTCAGAGGGGTGTCCAGGTTTTCCTTCAGGGCGTAGCCACGAACTGGTCTCGCTTGCTTGGTGTAGGCTTTTGTATTATACTCCCCGGGAACTAAACAGGATTCTCTCAAAACTTCATTGTAATATCTTTAAACGCGGATCCTAACTTTTTAATTTGATTCCAGAACGTTTTGTTGAAATAATCATAAAGCAGCACATCGGCTCGGTTCCACAAACGAATTTTTTCAACGAGTTCGTTAGAAAATTTGTCTTCTTTGTCTGCGGATTTTCGCTGGTTAAGCTTGAAGTACACAACATCTCGTACATCCCAGCATGCTTCGTTGGCAAGTAAGACGAGAGATTCATCGAAATATTCCATCAAAAGTACTAGGTTAAAATTTGCAGCAATCTCATCTATGGCCATGTTTACCTTCTCGTCGTCATGAAAATGAATACTGGCCAATCCTAAGTCAAAAACCTGCCCATTTTTCAACAAATTAAGATAAGGAAAGACATTTTCTGCTAGTGAACTGTTTGCAAATTTTGCCATGATACCGTTAGGATCAGTTATAAAAGCTTCGATGGAATCTCTTCCTGTTTCGATTCCGAAAAGGTGTGCAAACCCCATGTAGGAAAAAGTGGATTCGAATTGCGTGACAGGATTTCGAAGTATTGTGATAAAAACTGAGTCCAGGGCCATCAACTCCTTCATTGGATTCTTGTTCCATCTGGCATGGTGGCACAAGATGTTAGGTTGCTTTCCCTGCATGTCTTTTATAAATGATTTCTCGAATGGTAAGGGCCAGTAGAAATTATAAAGACCATCTTGCGGTAACGCGAAGGTTAAGTTGTGTATGTCCCCATAGCGGTTCAGTATGTTGGTCAAGGTACTGCTTCCAGTTTTGTGCGTTTTTAGAAAAAGTACGTTGTGCTTGGGTTGACAGTTTCTGGAAGTTGTTCTGCGAACAAGGAAAACAGATTGCGCACGAATAAAATAATATAATGTAGGTTCCTTATCATGCGGAGAATAGATTGCAATCCACTTTTATAAGGCACATAGTGCTCTCTAAAACGCGACTCCTGACTGGGGAGTAAAAGTTTTAGTCCTATCTATTACGATAAATCGAGGATAACTAATATAAGTTTATTGATAGGTCAATGGTGGGGGGAGGACGGTAGTGACCTTCAGATACCACTGCAGCCTAGTCCTTAGTCGACCTCGTGATTTCCCAATTCGCTATTTTCATATAGACCATAATGCGCCTTGTTTACCCCCCAAATTTTGCATAATCATTGTTTCCAATTTCTCTTGGGTATTAAAGTCGTCCCAAGAGAAATAAAAAACAAGGGGAGAGTAAACAAGGAGCATTATGAAAATGGTAAATTCTCCTTGGGCTCGGTTCATAGCTTCCTCCGCTCACTGGCACTGCCCGACCTGGCCAGGGGACGAGGCTGATAATGACTAACATCCAGACCCAAACAAATTTAAAACTAGTTAGTATCGAAAGCTTTAGTACTCATTCTTCCTTAGTAGCGAGGCGGATGTTTAAACAGGAAAAGTAACTTGAAAATAAATCATACCAGCCCCTCTTACTCTCGAACAAACTGCTTCCTCATCAACCTCAAATTTTGCTCAGGTTTGGGCCTGCAACAATTAGTCAACAAACCTGAATTTTTCCTCTTCATCATCGTTCGTCATGACTACTTCTTCGCTTATATCTAGAGTGAAGATTTTCCATAAGTTGCTCACGCAGACAATTAACAAGAATAAAAGTAAAATAGCCAGTCGGAGAGTAAATCGCCTGTTAAAAATGTGTAGGACGGGAGGAGTCTTAAGCCCTGTTATAGTAACTGCCATCGTTGATTTTATTTATACGTTTGGTGAACGCAGCCATGATGATTTTCAACGTTAAGATACTTTTGACGTGGGTAACCAAATATCGAAATACAGATTCTCCCGACTGATCTCCAATAAATTCCCGTAAGAATGAAACGAGAGAACTTGTTAAAAGATCAAAGCCATTTTCCATTTGGTAATTATTTTATTCTGATTATATTCTTACAACCCGGCTTTTCCTTCTTGACTGTATTGAAAAAGCGAAGAGAAACTTGCTGTTAGTCAATTTTGGGAGAATAAAGGGATACCTGGTAATGTTTTACAACCAAACGTGCTCATTTAGAACACCGCGGGGGGGGGGAGCACTCCCTTATTTGGCCTAGACGGGTAAGTGCTGCTGAAAGGGGCATTTTTCTCAGACTCATGAGCCTTAAACAGGGTATTCAACTTTGCTTCTTAAACAGGGTGTAATTTTTGACCGGAAGCTTTAAAAAGAGTGTGAGGGTGGACGGTTCGTGGTCTACAGGAGTGGTCAGCAACATTGTATTTTCAAAAAACATCTTAGTCTTGATGTTAGTTTAAAAAGCATGACTTAATTCCTGGTGGGTGCATGCGAGACGAAATGAATCAGGGTCGTGAAAGTAGGTCTCTTGTCTTAAACAGGGTAGCGAAATGAACAATATTTGTCTTAAACAGGGTCAAGGTAGGAGGGCTCGGTGGCAGACCTCTACCAAAACTTCCCCTGAGTATCTCCCTCTGGAGTTAAGAGAATTTAATAGTGATTTGAATACCAGTTTGTCACCCGCGATTTTTACATGGTGCTACCTGCCAAGAAACCCCAAGAAACTTCATAGTCATAATTCTAGTGTACAGTGTGCAAAGAGACCCTTCTGTATATCCTGAACCGGACAAATTCAACCCAGAGCACTTTTCGTCCACAACCAAGCAATCGCGTAGTCAATACGCCTTTCTGTCATTTGGTCATGGGCCCCACAGCTGTATATGGATGCGATTTGCATTCACGTAGATAAAGCTGGTTCTGGTGACGATTTTAAAGAAATGTCGCTTGGAAGTCGATACTGATACCAAAATCCACCTGTTTTCAAGTTCAAAGCCACCTTAGCTTGTCAGCAAGTTAACGTCCGCGTCGTTTCAATAAAACAATGAATATTGAACAATTTTGATTACGTGTACTAGCATAACATATAGATCTACCCAGGGCTAAAAGCGAGGTTCCCATTAACAAATTTATAATTTAAATCAAACAATAAACTTGTATTCCACAATTCAGTTATTAAACTTTAGAGAACATTCATGTGACTTTTGAGGAAAAGGCTAAGTGATTTTAGAGAAAAATAATTTGCAAACAGCCTAAGAGTGAACCAAATCTTACATCGAGTTGATAGCCTCATATGTACACCCAAAAACTAGCAATCGTCTTCGATCACATTTAAGAGCCATAATGGCTGTTGATCACCGTAGATTAATTAGGCCTAGAAAAGAAATCAGGCCGATTTTTTTGCGTTTCAGTGACAAGTTTTACTTTACAAAATCTTGCCAACAAATCTGGGTGCGTGTAAACCAACCTTTTATACCATTTATATATCACATCCGAGGTGAAAAAGTACTATGAGGCACTGTTTTTATCATACAGACCTCGGACAGAATGCAGTATTTCACAATTTTGTGATACAAATTGCACTCATTCAATATTCAGGACAATCGAAGCAGGCGTGGGCTTTTTAGTAAACCGTTAAAAGAATTTCCAAAATCACCTATATGGCCAGCCGGTTCTCACTTTTGCAGTGCGAGCTGTGGTCGAGTGTTTGAATGAACATTAATAGAGTTTCGCTCCAACATAATAAAGAATTTATTATGTTTATTTTTATTTAATGGTTTTATCGATGTGTAATCTTCAAAAGCATTTGATACGCGCGGCATTTTGAGTACTCCTAGTTACAAGCGATGTTCATTGAACGGCTGAAAACAAATCGCACAGAGATTAAAATTACAAGAGAGACTACTAGCAGTCAATAAAAGAAATATAATTCTGTGAAACATATACAGAGACAACAATTTTCTTTCACGAAGACAAGTATTAAAGAGTCTCTAAAAATCCTGAGTCTTCAAGCTTAAAGCTTATTAAGTTTATGTTTTAAGCCGGCTTCCCGGTGTTTGCTTTATTTCAAAGATGAACTCGAGGCAAGAAAATCGCTCAAAGCTTTCTTTTACAGCCAGAATTATAACTAAATATTCTTTGAAACTTTTTCTTTCTATTTGCGTTGAGAAAAAGTCTAAAGGCTTTTTAAAGTTCTGTAAGCTTAAATCAAACCTGGCTCTAAGGCCAGGTCGCACGGCTCGGACCATGTCCTCATCACTCATACTGCGCGCGCAGGACTTTTCATTTTTAATTTGCATCGATATGTTTTCTATTTTCAATTTGCAGCACAATTTTTAGCTTGCATGTACTATATTTAATTTGTAGGTAATATTTTTAGTTTGCATGTACAATTTTTAATTTGCATGTACTATTTTTAATTTGCAGCAACATTTTTAATTTGCATGTGTGACCCTTCTGGGCCACCGTACATACATACTTACATATATACATGTTTTATTTATTTGGAGTCTTATACTATAAATAGCATATCAACTATTTCCAAATATCTAAAATTACAAACAACAAAAAATTCCTAACCATATATAGCTAATAAGTTATTAATTAGTTAAGTCCTAGAGTATTTACTTTTTGCCGTCTTCCCCTTTCCTTTTTTCAAAGCATTCAAATATATGTTTTGCTATTAGATTATGTATTTTAGCGTTTCCGCTAGCGGGGTTTATTAGAAACATGAATATTTTGTTAGGTGACATTCTGTTTATTTTTATTCTATATTCTTTTTCGAAATAATCTAGTAACGAACATATTTTTTCCTGGTAAGCAGGGCATATATTTAGGAAATCGCATTCGTCCTCCATTTCTATTTTACAATTTGGGCAAATTCTTTCTGCAGGTTTCTTAAACTGTTTTGAATAACGTCCTGTCTCTATGGCTACTTTGTGGTCGCTAAGTGGCAGTTTTGTTAGAGCTATTCTGTGTCGCGTGTAGGTGACCTGATGTAGGTAATCTTCACATTTATAATTGTCTATCGTTTTGAATAACCGGTAGGTTCTCATTTTGTTGCTTTGGTTAGCATCTTTTCTGGTGTCGTTATTTATTTCACTTAGCCATCTTTGTAGTTCGATATCCTTAAGTCTTTGCCTGATCATGTTTACGATTCCTATGTCCGCATAGTATACGTTCATCGAGAGTTCTCCTAATCCCATCCGTTCCAATACGTAAGCTTTTAATTTTTTGCTCCAGAGAGCTTTATTTTCATTCCATTTAATGTCAATGCTTTACCCCAGGATGTAGGAGGGGGGTAACCCACGGGAATTAGAGTCAGTGAAGTGCACTTGGGTAGGGAATTTGACATCCGATCCTGAACGTCCCCAGGGTGGGAAATTTGACTCACCGCCATCTTGGAAAGTTGAGGACCAGGAAATGAGTGATAAGAGGTCTGCCATCTTAGAAAATACCCAGTATTCATTTGGATGAGTTTCCCAAATTTTGATATGTTCATTTCGTTGTGAAGGATAGTAGAACGAAACTTGCTTTTTAAGTTTTTGAAGTTTATGACAAAAATTAGTTTGTCCCTCAGGATTGAGAAGCAATACTTGCACAAAGTCTTATTTTGGAAATATGCTTTCTACTTACAGGTCTCCATCAGATGCTTCCCTGCCACAAGTTTTTGACAAAACGAAAGATCAAAAAATCATACGTAAAGACATGAAAGATTCCTGGAATTCGTTGTTAGATTTGCTAGTATACTCAAAATGTGCAATTAAATGAAATTCTGGACCTCAGGTACAAAACACCAGCCCTTAGAAACTAACCCTTCTTGATGTGGTATGTCATGTTCCGGATGGCATTGCACATTTTGCATTGCTGTAAACAATGTGTGAAGCAATTCAAAGGTACTTTCGGGAGTATAGCATGTGTGTTGAATCGCCAGCCACACTAAATATCCAGCTAGAACATCTCTTCTACACTTGGGGAAATGCACAAAGCTTGTGGGTACCATTATTTTGTCACCGAGTAATTATTTCTCTCTGGAGACGCTCAGTGCTCAGTGTTGTGAGTAGTAGGACTTCAGCAAACTTAACCCCGTTGGTGTCTAGCAAGGTCTAGCTAGGTCTAGTCTATGACGTCACCGATTGTTATAACCTGGGGAAAAAGTGGATTCCCTTTATTAATATGTATAAGTGTCTTCCTGCATACTAATTTGGATTTCCTGCATACTAATTAAGTGTCTTCCTCCATATATAATGAAGTGGATAGGTTTACTAATGACCGTCACTCTACTACAATAGAAACAATAGACTTGCCTAGACTTGCCCGGTAAGTAACTGGAGCCTGGTTTTCGGACCGTCTATTAAAAGGAAAATAGGAATAAGAGAAGCGATCACCTAGCAACGCGAGAAACGGCTTCCTAAATCTTATTTAGCGCTAAAACTCAGATATACATAAACAAAACACATACAGAAAGTGGAGTTGAAAAGTCTTTATTTCAATTTAGTTTACGTCTTCTTATTTGGCGCTAAAACTCAGATATATATAAACAAAACATACACAAATTGGAGCGGAAAACTCTCTAAGTTTGTCTGACGTTTTCTCCTTTCTATCTCGAGGAAATGAAAGTCTTGTCATTTTCACGGACGGTTAATCAGTTAATTATGCAAGTTCACAAGCCCAAAGTTGAATACAAATTAGCTCTACAGGAAAGACCCAAGGGAGAGAATCTTGACGTATTATTATAAAACAAATAACTTAACAAGGATTAATTAAAACACGCGACTAATAATTGCTAGCAATAAAATCTGACACGAGATACCGTTAAAACAAAAAGAGTCAAATACACAGCGATTTGAAAGAAATCTATTAAAACAGTCAAAGAAAGCAAGTCATGTTTTACTTACCCCTC